CGAAAGCTTATGCTCTAATAAATTTGTTAGTTTCTAAGGTGCCACAAGTACTCCTGTTCTTCTTTTTGCGGATACAGACTAACACGGCTGTTACTCTGAAACCTTTCTCAAGTAGCTATTTTGTTGTAGTTCTAGAAAAGAAAGTCTAAAGCAAAATGATATTGTCCTACCTTCTACATTCAATGAAAAGATCTTTTTCACCAGCCCCAACTGCCTCCTCTGTCCTCAGGAAGGTGTTATGGTATTTGTTATGGAAAAGCTCAGTTCTTTTTTATTTGATCATTTTAGATTATCTCCTTACCTCCTCTGCTCTGTCAGCCAGCTTGTGCAGCAGCCAGGAGAGTCCAGTGAAAATACTTTCTTCATTCCAAGTTTATATTCCTGTTATTGCTGCCTCTCTCCCTCGCTCCTTCCCCTCCCTCAGCTTGTGCTCCCAAACTGTATCCATGCTAGCCTCTCTTTTCAGAAAAATGTCCCAGCGCTGAAGAAGTAATCAATTTAATTTGCAGCAAAGGAGATTTAGATTACATGTAGAAAGTTTTTCCTAATATCAAAGGATAATTAAGCACTGGAACAGGTTACCGAGGGAGGTGAGGAATCCCTGGCCTTGGAGGTTTTTAAGAACACGTTAGACAAACACCTGTCAGGGATGGCCTAGGAATTCTTAATTCTGCCTCCTGGCAGTGTGGAGGCTGGACTAGATGACCTCTTGAGGTTCCTTCTAGCCCTATGTTTCTATCATGGCTAACACCAGTTCAGGATCCACCAGCAGGAGGAACAGTGTGAGCACTAGTGTAGATAGATCTATAGGCAATCACCAGCATTTTTAGCACTGTGTCATCTCACTCTGCTCAGAGCAGGTCTACCTGATTTAGTGGAAAAAATGCTGGCAGCACCTAGTTTATGCTAGCTCTCCCATAGTAGCTAATGCCATGGCAACAATGGAGCTTAAATGGTGTTAGCAACAAATGCCCAGTGTTCACTTTGCCCTCAGAAATGTCGTGTATTGAGCCTTCCTGAAATCATTATTTTTTAACTTTCTCCTCTTAACACTTCTGATGTCTGGATTCCCCTTTTCTCCCTGTGCTACAACACCTGAACTACTTTAATGCACATCAACCTTATCATACAGAAAGTCAGCACAACAATTCTATCAATATTTAACCCATTAGACCCATTCACTGAAGTTACTCTTAAACAGTTTGGTCAATTCCCTGTACATTTCTAAAGATCAGTACTAACCTCTGTGACTCCTGATCCAGTCCAAAGTCTTCTTGAATAAGAAATCGTGCCTTTGAGTTATAAGGTTTTGTAGCTCCACCTACTGGGAGGTGAGTCCAATTTTGTCCAACAGGTAAAGGAAACGCCCACTGTTAAACAAATGAAACCAGTTGGCTCTGGCTGCTTTCTGACTTGTCACTTGAAATAGAACCTTCCTAATACACACTGGGCTAATCCACAAACCTAAAAAGTCCACAAAAAACTCATGATGGATTGGGACAGTTGTTTCTGGAAAGCATCACTCATTGTTTTTTCAGTATTACCCCTTCTGGGCGGGAGGCAGCATCTCCCATCTAGCGGTTAGGGCCCACGGTGACGGCTACACCTAATGGTTAGTCTCTGGCAGCAACCCCGGCTAGTGGGAACAATTCTTCCATGGAGTAGGAGAACCTCAACCCTGCCACTCCACCGGGTTCTAACTCAGGGCTCTGGGAGGCTGGTTCGGCTTCGCTCACCCTGCAGTGCCTTGGGTCAGCCTCAAGTCAACTTCCCTGAGTCACTTTCTCCCTTCCTTCGCATCCCAGCCGGCCATCCCCGGGGACTGCTGCCTTCTGGGCTCCTTGCCATGGTCCTAGTCTCTTGCGGGCTGTGGCTCCCCCCATTCCCAGGCTTATTGCAGGATCCAGCCATGTCTCCCCTGGAGCCTCCAGAGCTCATCCTTCTCCTTGGCCTGCCAGCGCCAACTGAGCTGTCTGGCTGCCTTTTAAACCCTGCCTCCATCCCAAGCATGCTTGGCACAGGCGGAGGGGCAGGGCCTCCTGAACCCAGAGTTGCTTCTTAATCCCCTTCTGTCCAGTGAGGAATTTATACACCCCATCACACACCCTCCCTCTTCAGAATCAGGGCTGGGAAGCGGTTCTGTGGTTCTTGCAACCCCCGTCTCTCAAGGAAAAAAATCTGCATTTTTGTGATCCTTCTCTAGCAAGTGAAGGATTTCGGAGCTATACAGCTGCAGGGAGACGTACCACTGCATAATTCTGGGGTTGGTGTTCTTTCAAGGTGTTCAGCCTCTGTAGCAGCACATGGCCAGACACTCGCTGAAAGACATTCCCCCAAAAGTAATACTTTAAAGCATCCACTGCCCATTTCATTGCTAGAGCCTAATTCTCGGGGTGCAAGTAGGCAGTTTCTTGCAGAAACAACTTCTTCTCCATTGATGTCTAGGGATAGCATCTCACCCAGGCCTACCTTGTAGGCGTCTGTTTGGAGTGTAAACTTCTTGTTGAAGTTGGGATGGGCAAGCGCGGGTTCTTGGCTCATCCACTCTTTTAGCTCCTAGAAGGCCCTCTTGGAGACACTGACCACAGGATCTTCCTTGGGCTAGAATTCTTTACCAGGTCTGTCAAGGGCACCACAATGGTAGTGAAGTTGGGTATGAAGTACTGGTAGTACCCCCTGAGGCCAAGGAAGCAGTGTACCTGGCATTTTGTCATAGGAATGCTACATTTTGCCAGGGCCTGCACTTTGTCGATGAGCAGTCTCAACTGCCCCCATTCTACTCGGTAACCCAAGTAGGTCACCTCTTGCCGGGCCAGCTGGCATTTGGTTGGTTTGGCTGTTAGTCCTGCCTCCTGAAGGGCTTGTAATGTAGCTGATACATACCTCAGGTGCAGGAGCGGCGCCAGGGTTTTTGCCGCCCTAGGAGGCAGTGCTCCTCCTCAGAATTCAGGGAGCCTGGGGTCTTCAGCGGCAGGGGTCCTTCCACTCCACGTCTTCGGGGCACTTTGATGGTGGGTCCCAGAGCGAGTGAAGGACCCACCGCCGAATTTCTGCCGAAGACCTGGAGCGGAAGGACCCCCCGCTGCCAAATTTCTGATGAGGGCGGCAAAATGCCACCCCGCAGATCCTGCCACCCTAGGCGACCGCCTAGGGTTGCCTAGTGGAAGCGCCGGCCCTGCTCAGGTCATCTTCTCAGCTCTGGCTGTAGATGACAATGTTGTCAATGTATGCCAAGGTGTACAACATGTGTGGGCGGAGCACCCAGTCCATTAGGCGCTGAAAGGTGGTCATGGTCAAAGGCATGATTTGAACTAAGGTAGAGAAGGCTGTATTTTCCCTGGACTCGGCAGTCAAGGGGATCTGCCAGTGACACTTTCTGAGATACAGGGTTGAAATGCACTGGGCAGTCCCCAGTCTGTCAAGCAGCTTGTTGACCTGGGGAATCAGATAGGCATTGAATTTGGAAATAGCATTTATCTTCCAAAAGTCAATGCAAAAACGGGTCAATCTGTTGGCCTTTGGCACCAATATGATGGAGCTTCACCATTCACTCTGGGATTCCTCGACTACCCCTATCTCCATCATCATCTGTAGCGCCTGCCAGACCATTTCCCACAGCTTTTACAGCAGGAGTTGAGGGTTTTCACAAACTTTCTTCCCTGGCTCAGTGTCTATATGGTGCTTTGCCAGGCATGTATATTCTGGTCATGCTGATATGACCACACAGAAGGCTTCTATCAGCTGTTGTAGCTGGTGTTCTTGCTCTGGCAGGAGTTCTCCCAATGGTACAAGTCCAGAGTCAGGATCCCTGGAGATCTAGCTCCGGTTCTGGTGGGTCTGGCACTATTAAGAGCGCCTCTTGCTCCCACCAGGCTTTAAGCAGTTTGATGTGATAGATTTGTGTTTCCTTACATCTCCTGGGCTGGTGTATTTTGTAGTTAATGCCCCCAACCTTTCCCACTACTGTGCCATCAGCTTTCACTCTGACATTGGGAGGAGTAGCAGGACCCTATCCCCAGCTGCAAACTCTTTCAACCGGGCCCCTTTGTTGTAGGTGTGTTCTTGCTCGGCTCTCAGTAAGTTCTCCTGGGTGAATGCCCTTAGTCTCTCCAAGTCTTCCCACAGGCGACTCATGTTCTAGACAATGCAAGAACTCTTCCCAGGTCTCTTGGAGGAGGTCCAGCACCCCCAAGGGTTGATATCCATTCAGGTGTTCAAGCAGGGAAAACTCTGTTGAGGCTTGCAGTACCTCATGGATGGCGAATTGGAGGGGCAGAAGCAACTGGTTCCAATGTCGTGGGTCTTTGGCTATGAATTTCAACAGTAACTCCTTCAGGTTTCATTGAAGCCTTCCACCAGTCCATCCATTTTGGGGTGGTAGATGGACGTCTTCAAAATTTGATCTTTATAGGGGGGCACAGTTCTTTCATTAACTGGGATGTCTTATTAGTCCCCTGGTCCATTAGGACCTCCTTGGGTTCTCCTACCCATGCATACACCTTCATCAGCTCAGGTGCCATATGGCTGGCAGTGGTTGATTGGAAAGGTATGACTTTGGGGGTTTGGCTTCCTAGCCTACAGGCATGTGGAGTATTTGGCACTTTCCATATTTACCTTCTTGGGCCAGCGTTAGAGACCAGCATCAACCAATTCTCATATGAGTGGAGGGTGGCAAGTAGTGTGAAGAATGTGTTCAGAACCCTGTAGAACCTGGTCCCCATTTCACACAAGACTTGCATCAAGACTAGACAGTGAAAAATAAACAGCAAGAGTAAGAAGTTTACTTCACAGGGAGACATTTATTTCACCTGAATACATTCTCTTCACAGATTACTACCTTTGATTGAATGCCATACTTCAGTGCACATGCACTTATTTCCTGAACTGCTTCCTAATTCCTATTTTTTGGTACTCATATCATAACCAAAACACTTGATTTCTCTGAGCGTTACATCTGTGTCTGCTAATGCTGAGTGAAAATCTTTATTGCTGTTATTTTAACTCTTTTTATAATTGCAGAACTTTATTCACAGTCTCTACAATTCTGTCATCGGGTTCGGTCCTCCTTTGGCTTCCAGGCTGCAGAAATTTCTTAATTGTAGGGAGGTTACTTATTCTTGCTTTAAAAGCCTAAAATAAAGCGAACAGAGAAACAAAGAGTGAGGAGTCCTCCTGTCCCTATATCTGGCCTGATGCCTCCTCCCTCTTTTGAGTAAACAAAAACAGGAATACATCAGGACTATAGGAGCCCCCTTTGGGACCCCAAAGATCATGTACTGATGTAGGCATCACTCCTGCAACTGCATCCATACAGAGGGATCCCTATAGTCCTGTGTAGCTACATTTACTTCAGTGGGGTTCCATGATGTGCAAAGGTCCACCCAAGTGGATTCTGTTGCTCTATTGGGCACATGCTCATATATTTCAGCTTTGAAGCCAATCATTTTATATAAAATATTGTCAGCCCAGCAGAAAAACTTTGACCATCAAGCCATCTATGCAAAAGTAAAAAAGTTTTGAAACATAGTAGGCCCTGAATATAGATTTATATTTGTTTTCAGATTAATTCTACTTAAATCCATTTCCTCTGCACTGCATTTTATTGGGGTAACCTTATTGACATCATTTATCATAAATGCTAATGGACTGTGAAATTACACTGCCTGGTGGAGTCACTCTGGTTTTCAATATGCCATTTTCTAAAATATGCAGTTAGATATATATAAAGATATAAAGCCAATATTGCTTAGCACTACACAGCTTTTCAAACCATTGATCTCCAAGCATTTTACAAAGATGAGTAAGTATTTTACAGATGGAGAAACTGAATACGACAATTTGGAGATAGCGTGCCATGCTGTACCTCAAAATGGCATCCTGTAACCCCCATATTTATCATTTGTATATCGTTATGATATTTCATATAAAGCATGCCATGTAAGATATCATATGCAAGGTCATGATCTGCTGAAACCCGTTGTTCTGTCCAAATATGTTTATCATTAGTGTGTATAAAGTTAAGACATTGTGCTGTATGGTTGTTACTGAAATCTGCTGTAAATTTGCTAGTGACATACAAAGAATCCCTGTGCAGGTAGATATTGACCTCCCACTAATCAACTGTATGATTCAACTATGCAAACACCACACAATGGGAACTGCTTGATCACTGTGACTTGGGAACTGCCTGATAACTGTGACTCAGCAAAACCCACATGCCTGGGCTAGTGTCTGCCAGTGTAGGGATATAAAAGAAGGTACTAACAGTGATTCCCCCAAGTGACAGTGACCCCCTCATAATTTGTCCCCACACACTTTAAAATCCAACAGTTTCACCAAGTACAAAAATCTCTTGGGTCTTCTGTTAAAACTTGTAAGCTACTGTCTGTAGAAACCATTGATTATATCTATCCTGTGAAAGATACTTTACTACTATGTAAAACTTACAAACAAGTTAACTAACTTTGTTCTTGAAGTAATTGATACAAGGTAAACAAACACTATAAGCCGTTAAGTGACTTTCACTTCATTCAAGGGCTCCTAGGACAGACCCCCACCCTCTGTGATTAAAGGGCCGGGAGTCTCAAATGAATTAGCACACACCCTGAAAGTGGTGGAGACAGTAAATTGAAATATGGTTAAGGTATGGAATGTATGCTGATGAATGCTTGATATACATGGATGGTTAGGGAGGTGCCAGTCTAGAAAGGGAGTATCCATCGGCCGAAGAATGTGTCAAGTGGATGACCAGAAAACCCCCAGACGGTAAACTGGGATCCACCCCATCACCTGGAAGGATGAGAAACACAAACTTTGGACAGTGTGGAGCCACCAGGAATGTGCCACTTTGGACGGGAATGTGCCATCTGCTGATTGAGTCAGCAACAGCAGGATGAAACAGCTCCCATAGACTAACATAGGAATTAATTCCTATAAGAATGGACTCTAAAGACTGATAACTTTGAGTCTCTGGTTCTGCTGCCAGCCTCCAGGAGCATCAGGTGCACCTGACACGGACTCGGCTCCATCCTCATGACCAAGATACCTGGCCAGTAACTTGGCATGAGCAACTTCTAGGCTGGTAACTATAACACCTATACAGAACTTGAATGAATGATTGTGTGAATGAATCTCTCTCTCTCTCTCTCTATATATATATATGTGTGTGTGTGTGTGTGTGTGTGTGTATAAGAAATAAGAGTCAAACAATGTTGTTTACTTTTATCTTTTGCTTTATCAGTATATTTACAATAAATGTGGCATCTTTGCCTTATCCCTCTTAATAAGATCCTGCTGGTTTTTATTCTATTGGTATAACACCAAGCACATGGGCCCAGGGTTGCAGCACTCTGTGCCTCAAAACAGCAACCTGGAACTCCCATATTCACCACTGTCATATAATTATGATATGTTTTAAACAAAATATGCCTTGTGAGGTATCATTTTAAAAGTCTTCATCTGTTGAACATTAATATCTTGTTGGATTATATGTGTTATCATTGTATGTGAAATGATGAAGTTTTGCTATGTGTGTGTTACTGAAATACTGTATGTTGAGAGGTTGGGAACACCCACAACCAGCCTTTCATGTACTACAGTGGAGGAGCCAGACACGCTGATGGCTCATCAAAGGGAATCCACACTCCGAAAGGTTCTTCCCAGGAACTGTATACAATGGAGACTTCTCAAAGATAGCACATAGACAATGGAGAATGCTTGACCAATGGAGGTGGACGGACCCCTATGTCACAAGCAAAGGCTCTTTCCAGCAAGCTGGAAGAAACTATAAAAGAGAGGAAGTGACATAATCACTTGGCCTCATTGCCCCCACAACTCCACACCTGGAAACACGTCTGGAGGACAAAGACTGAAAGGGGGGAAGGTGGTCCCGGGCTGGAGGAGAATTCCAGCCTGTGTATTGACGATCTGTAACCAGCTTGTACTATATCAAGGGGACACTCCGCTTGATTCAAATCCTGTTAGTTTATAGAACTTAGATTGTGTGCTTATTTTTATTTTCTTTGGTAACCTTCTCTATCCGTCATGCCTACCACTTATAATCACTTAAAATCCATCTTTCTGTAGTTAATAAACCTGTTTTATGTTTTACCTAAAACAGTGTATTTTGCTGGAAGCACTTGGGAAACCTCAGCTCAAGAACAAAAATTTCTGCCTGTCCTCTCCACATTGAGTGGGGGCGGACTGGGTTATAAATGTATACTGGTCAGGCTTCTGCTAAACAGAAAGGCTTGGTGGATCACTGCCGCAGGCTCACAGACATTAATGGTGGTCTGGGAAAGTTCACGATGCTAGGATCAATCAGTTATTCTGGAAGACCTGGTTTATCCCTGGATGCCATGGCTAATGAAGCCATACACAGGCTGTTTGGACAGAAGGAAGGAACATTTTAACTATCACCTGAATAGTTGCAGAATGGTAGTCAAGGATTCGTTTGGACTTTTGAAACTGAGCTCAAAGTACAACAGTAAGAAAAATGTCACATACAACAAGTGCAAGGTGATGGTGCATAAAGTTAAAGAGGAGTAAAAGCCTTGCCTCTGATTCTTCTTGTCCACCTAAGTTCTGGGGTTGAGTTAATATATGGAGATATACCTATCTCATAGAACTGGAAGGGACCCTGAAAGGTCATCAAGTCCAGCCCCTTGCCTTCACTAGCAGGACCAAGTACTGATTTTGCCCCTGATCCCTAAGTGGCCCCCTCAAAGACTGAACTCACAACCCTGGGTTTAGCAGGCCAATGCTCAAACCACTGAGCTAATCCTCCCCCCCACACCCTGGGCTCAAAATTCTCAGGGACTTTGCAGGGCTCAAAAGAGCTGAGCCGCCATGTGCTAGTGCTCTCTGTGCTTAGAAGCTGGATCTGAGAGGTCAATGGGAACCATTAGGAGCACTGCTGTGGGAATGTGGAGGTTAGAAGTTGCTGAAGGTCCCAGTAGCCAGCATTATCTAGGGGCTGAAGGGCATGTCTGGTTCCCAATTTAAGGGACTGAAGGGCCTGCTGGCCTAGAAAAGCATGTTTTGTAGAAGAGATTCTGGCTCAGGCTAGCATCCATGACTTGCCTCTGCATCTCTCTGTCTTTTTCCATGCTCTCCTTCACCATGGTGATGCTGGCCTTGGCTACTGCTACAATCTCTTGGGAGAGCTGCATTTCTTTCTCCCTCTGTGTCCTTATGTACAGCCTCCACCTCTCAGCCAGCCTGGTTTCCCCTGTGACTCTCATGAGTTCTGCAAATGTCTTATCGCAAATCTTTCTTTTTGGTCCCTTCAGGTTGATCAGCCTCTCAGCAGTACATAGAGGCCCTGTCCTTAATAGTTTGGCTGTTGCAGGTGGGAGCAGGGGGAAAAAACCCATCACTTATTATTCATATCCCAGACAAGTCATGATAGCTTTTTTTAGTATGTATATGTGACCTTGCTTCCCTGAGCTGACCTTGCTTCCCATCTCTGAGCTTCCCCCAAGAATGAGAAGTGGTCTGTGTATACAAAGGGTGCTGGGTGTATTTGGATTTCAATCTACTGTATCTGCTTTCATGCTGTTCGGTTGGGTGGTGTGGTATGGTTGGCGTATGTTCTGGGTTTGTTTTTGAAGATAGTTATGGGGAGCAAGCTAGACAGTAATCCTCTCTACATCCCTCTTAGGTGGTCCTTATTCTTGATGATGTTATGCCGAGGCTGGTGAGTAGGAGGCAAAGAATGGTCTTAGTCCAAAAAGCAAAGAGCAGAAGCGAGATTCCTGGTGAATAAATATACAGTTTTAGTCCCCCCCCCCAGAAGCGGTACAGAAGTGGAAGGGCTTGCAAACTATACCAGGAGGCACGGGTGTTTGGCTATTCCCTATAATGTGCAAAACAAAATTGAGCTATTTCTCAGTCTTAACTTGTACTATATTTCCCCTACAGGCATGGAGAAAGTGCAGAGAAAAATAGATAGGTTCCTACAATGATTTTCAGCTACAATGAATATTACAGGGCATTTGTACCTCAGTGGGGAGCAGCATCACTTGTGTCTTGACCAGGTGTGCCGTGTGCACTTATACCTCATGTAAAGTACGAAAAATAACCAAATTTCTCTTCCTGTAAGCATTGGCTCAATCACTACACAGATCTAGAGGTCTTGGAAGCACATGGGAGTCAGCAGTCAGATCCAATCACAACAGACTCGTGTCCATCCAAAGAGTGGGTCTCAGCCAGGTTGTGATGCTGATGCTCAACGAGATGAACACGACTTATCCAAGGACACAGTGAGTCAGTGGTAGATTTGGGAATAGACACAAGATCTTCTGAATCTGATGCCCATGCATCTTTGTAGGGAGATAGAAGGGGCTTAGGATAGTATACCGTGTACTCGGGTGCATACTGTAATCTGTGAGGGGACTGATATGTGGGGTGAGGGCAGGCATACTGCTTAAAGTGTAGGTAACTGCATTCTTGGTTATAGTGGAGATAAGTTACCAGGGCACAATTCAGAACTACCAGGCCAGGGATCAGACCTCATTGCCTCTTACAAGCAGCACTGCTGAGTTTAATATTGCATTACAATTTGTGAAATGTGTGTAAATTATTGTGCTAAATAAATAGCCATATTAAAACTGAAAGCATGGCATATCACTGCTCAACGGGCATCTTGGGAAGTCTGTGAGTGTGTGTGTCATATTACTTGTTGATCTGCCCACCTAAAATTACCTGTAATAGAGGAAATTCTGAGAGAGCAGTGGGCTCATACTCTTCAATCATTAAAATGGATTCAAGTACTTGTACGTCTGCCCTGCTGAGTTGGTTGCCAACAAGAAAATCTTGTCCATGAGCTTTTAAAACCTATATATGAGAAAAAAATATATATATTTTTGGGCACAAATAGGCCACACATTGGAAAAATAGAAACCACTAAACAGTCTGACGTTTTCAAAGCAAATTCATTTAACATCTGTTTCATTTGGGGAAATTATATATATAAACCAGGACAGCAAAACTACCATACCAGTTGCATTGAGTGAAAAAATCCATCAGTCTTTATATGGGTCCCTTTTCCACAAAAAGATCCATATGAATGAGCTACTGCATTCTGGACTATGTGCAGGAATAGGGGTCCATCCATACAGACCCAGTTTCAGGACTGGGGCCCAAGTCATCATGCAGAAGAAAAGGCACCTCACTCTCTCATGAGACAGAAAAGTCATATGAATATACATGGCTGATGGCAGGTGGAAGACATCAAAGCCATTGCAACTGCTTTTTGTCCTCCTTTCCTCCTCTTTATTCAATGGTTTATGGCCCCATTTTACAGATGGGGACACATCAGCAGAGAGAGATGCCTAAGAGAACACTTGATTTAAAAAAAAAAAAGGATCTAATGTAAAAAACAAAAACTCACTTACACCCCCTCCCCCTCCTTCCCACCCTCTGCCCCACTATTGCAATGTTCGTAGCTGCCATATACCTTCTCATACACTGGGAAGTATCTGTTGGTTGCCCTCTGAATCATTAAGGCAAAATTCTTCTCCTTTTCCTCAGGAGATGAGAAAGGGTAAAGCATGATCATTTCATTCAGGTCCATTGTTCCTTCAACATACATATCAATCCTGCCATAAAAATGGTAATTGAAGAAATGTCAATGATTAATTTACTAAGTCATTCTACTGCATGATGCTACAATGCCTGTATATGAAGGCCATACCCAAGCAGCAGAGCATCTGTCACCTGGGGAGTGAATCTCTGTCTGCAAGGGGGTGGGGAAGGAATGGCAAAGCTCAGATTTTTGAATGAGCTTTCCCAAACTAAATAGTTTTTTAAAAATTGTGGGGAAAGGGGGAGAGAGAGAGAGAGATTCTGAAGGTTGAATATCCTTGTTTAAAAGAATAATTACAAAACCTGCCCCAATACAGCAGTAATGAGCTCAAAAAAAAAAAACAAAAAAAAAAAACTAGGTGGATAGAGGCTACAGCCCCAGGCCTGCCACTCATTGTGTGTGAGTGCACTGGTTCATCTTCTTGGAGCTCATGAAGTAAATGGAGCCCTGCCTGGGCTCAGAAGTCTGCCCATAGGTCCTGATCCTGCAATCCATTACACATCTCAGAAAATCACTTCAGTTTGGAATAAATTTGTACATAGCTGCTCTAACTTTCCTATCGTCATTTTGGAAATGGCTGGAAGGGGATGTGACAGGCCTCCTCGGAACAGGCACATAATAACAGAAATGGTTCACTTTAGAGGAGGGAGTAAAAGTTATTTGTATATTGATAGACTTTCCAGAGGAATGGCAAGTTAGATGGTCCAGTTCAGAAAAGATCCTATCAGAAATCAGCCTGCATCTAAAGACTAAATCAAATATATAAAAAAGATAATTGGAAGGATGATTTCATTTCCATAGAAATGAGAGAGTCCTCATTTTTGTTAATTTGAATACAAAGTTTTCATTTCATTTTCAAATAAGTATTTTTCATTTTATCTAAAGCAGCTTTTAAAACAATACTATGGTACAGTCTGTTACAGTACAGTACAGTGCTCTCTCCTTCAGGTCCTTCCCATAGAGGTTGTGTTTCCCTGCTATGTAGTTGAGAATGGCTCTGGTCTGCACCATCTTCATTCCGTCAATTTCTACCATGGGCACTTGTTGAAACAGCAGGGATCCATCTTTGGAAAGGAAAAGAAATTGAGTCATTTAGTTCCTGTAAATTGTCTGATCATTGCCCTCAGATTGAGATAAATGACATTTCTTCAGCTGCCACTTAGACCATTGTCTTGGAGTGTATTGATCCCTGAACCTAAAATTCTACAGAATTTTTCACAGACCCATAAAATGCACGCCAGTGCTAGCTTTTGCATTTGACTCTATCAGAAAAGGATCAATAAGGGATATAAACAGCTGTGTAGCCACACAGCTACCAACCAGCAGCCTGTCTGGAAATTGAGATACTTAACTTATTTTTTCTGAAGTCAACTTCCACATACTTTAACTAAACTGCTTCCAAATCAAAGCTTCTTCTTTGTGACAGAAAAGTACGAATGTCATGTTGTAAAATGCATTTTTCAACCTAATCACTCCCTTGCAGAGCTTAACCTATAACTATCCCCTAACTCTCTTTTAGAGATTCACCAGAAGAGATGCAGATGTGATTCGGTTAACTGTGGGGCCCCCCATCAAGTTATAAGGAGACCTATATATTTATATATACATTTAATATAAGATAGAGGTGTCCTACAAAACATAGAACATTATGTTGTGAGAGTGCCACTAAATAATGACACTTTGCAATGTGACAGTGCTATACTATTGTGTCATAGCAGTGGTGGGCAACCTGCGGGCTGCACGCAGCCCGTCAGGGTAATCCGCTGGCAGGCCGCCAGACAGTTTGTTTACATTTGCATGGCCGCCCGCAGCTCCCAGTGGCCGCCGTTCACTGTTCCCGGCCAACGGGAGCTGCGGGAAGTGATGTGGGCCGCAGGGTCATGCTGGCCACAGCTTCCCGCAGCTCCCATTGGCCGGGAAAGGCGAACCGCAGCCACTGGGAGCTGCAGGCGGCCATGCAAATGTAAACAAACTGTCTGGTGGCCTGCCAGTGGATTACCCTGACAGGCTGCGTGCGGTCTGCAGGCCGCAAGTTACCCACCACTGGTCTATAGTATATCTGTGCTGCTTATTTCACCTCTTAAAACCAGCTCTGGTTTTGGATATGTAGATCCACACTTTTGCAGGAGAGCAAAATAGTAGTGGATCAAATGTGTGACACAGAAGCTGCTTGTCAGCCCTTCCAACTCCAACTATATGACTCCAGAGAGCAGAACCTAAGGGGAGAATTTAGCTGTTATTCTGCAGGCTTACCCTGAAGTAACTTTTCATATTGTTTTCTTGTTTCCAAATATTCAGCTTCTTCAAACTGTAAAACAAACGGACAAGAAGAACTAGATAGTTATATCTCAGAAATCATAAGTGAAGATTTTAGTTAGGGGATATTTGCTTAATAGCTTCTCATAAAGGGGTTAATATAGGAGACACATCCCAAAATATCCAACGTGAGAAGAGAAGGATCTAATGAGGCAGTGAATGACCTAAATAAAAGTTTGTGCTGCTATTACTCTGTACCCCACCTGATCTCATCAGGTTCATTACCTCAAACTCAAAGATGGCTAAGATCCCCTTGGAAGCACAGAACAATTCATGGGACTCAGGGATCATCAGAATGTTTGACACTGTCAGTACAATCCCTGCGGTTATACTGTGCAGCTAAACACCTTAGGGGTCTGTTAGCATAAAAACTGATGGTAAGTGGTATCATGTTTTAGCAGCAGCCATCCAAGCTTCTTTTCTGTTATCATGTTTAACAGATAGACGAACATAATTCTGTGTAAGAATTTTTCACAAGCTTACTTGGAAACTAATATCCGCTAACATCCAGTTATGTAAGCCTTGCTGGGTGCTGTTAGCACAGTGACTAAGGAGAAAGTGTGGAAAGCAGAATGTACACTAAACTACTCCTAGGGGAATTCTGCACCAAAAAATTAAAAATTCTGTGCACAATATTTTAAAATTCAGCATATTTTGTCAAAATAATGCAATATAATCACTCTGGTTTCAATTATTTTGGTAATTTATTTAAACTACAATACAATGGATGAAGAATGGGAGTAGGGAGCATTGGAGGAAATCCCCAACCCCCTTTCCTAATAGTAATGTAGCTAGGTTTGACCCTTTATTTCTAGTTATTAGTCAACTAACATATGCAGCCATATACTCGTGTTACATCATAGGCAACTGAAGAGAAAGTGAGGGCTGGGGAATCAAACTCACAATTTATATTGGCTACTGACCATCTCCAGAAAGATTTGATAGGAAAGTTTTTCAGTCCAAAAATTTAGACCAGTTTTAATCACTAAAGCACCATAAGCATTTATAAGGCCATACTGTCCTTTACACCACTTTGGCAATGTAAAGGGACCTTAAAACTTTTACACCTGTTTTATACTTGTGGAAGAATTCAAAAAGACAATGGGAACAATTCACTAAGCAGGCAGGCTGCTACATTCTGCTCTGCCCGAGGGGACAGAGCCTGCCCCATGCCTACCTCCTCAGAAACAAAGCCCTGCCCCTCCACGCTGAATGTGCTGCAATAGTGTGCGAGAGGGCCAGAGTGTCTCTCTCTCTCTCACACACATGGCTGGCCGGTGGTGATTTATGTCTAAACCGGCTGTTCTGGGCACCCAAACCAACCTGCCTGCGCTGCTGGGGAGGGGCAGGTGACCACTCTTGCAGCTTCCCTTTGCTTCCCCATCAGAAGTCATTTTTCTGCGGGGAAGCAAAGAAATCTGTGGGAGACATGAATTCTACGCATGTGCAGTGGCACAAAATTCCCCCAGGAGTACTAATCCCCGGGTTTTTCCTGCCTTATGGGACAAATATGACCTTGTAGCTAGGGCCCAGGAATAAGAGTTGGGAGATCTGGATTCTACTGGCTCTGGCAGAAACATCCTGTATGATCTCAGGCAAGTGATCAGGAAACGGTGATACAGGGTATATCTACACTGCAAAAAATCCCTCTGTCAGTGAGTCTCAGAGCTCAGGTCAACTGTCTCAGGCTCATGGAGCTCACGCTGCAGGGCTTAATATAGCAGTGTAGACATTCCTGCTTGGGCTGTAATCTTGGGCTCTGAAACTTGGCGAGGGGGGGAGGGTCTTGGAGCCCAGACTCCACCCTGAGCCTGAATGTCTACACTGCTATTTTTAGTCCCCTAGCACGAGCCCTTCAAGCCCAAGTCGTTTACCTGGGCTCTGAGACTTCCTGCCATGGGTCTCGTTTTTGCTGTGTATACATACCCAATGATGCCTGCCTACCAACCTGACTGTTCTGGGAGTCTGGATTTGCTGATGTTTGTGAAGCACTTTGAGATCCTTGGGTGGAGGCAAGGCCAGGGCAACCATTAGGCAAACTAGGCGGCTGCCTAGGGTGCCAAGTGGTTGGTGGGTGGACAAAAGCGTGCTCTGGGGCGGCGGTGGAGTGGATGTGAGCTGGGGCGGGGGGGTGCGGGGAGGGCCGATTGCAGCAAGTAAGGGGGGGGCAGCACACAGGGGACCCGCTCCCCGCCCCAGCTCATCTCTGCTCCACCTCCTCCCCTGAGCACGCCGCCCCGCTCTGCTTCTCTCCCTCCCAGGCTTGCCGCACCAAACAGCTGATTGGCGTCGCAAGCCTGGGAGGCAGGAGAAGTGGAGCAGCAACGGCATGGTCGGGGAGGGGGAGGAGCAGAGGTGATCTGGGGTGGGGAGCTGCCGCACGGCTCCCCGGGCCAGGGGGGGGGCGCCTCAGGGCTGGGGGGGAGCTGCCACAGGGCTCGGGGAGGGGGCACAGCAGAGGTGAGCTGGGGTGGGGAATTGCCACGGGGGTGCGCCTCAGGGCAGAGGTGAGCTGGGGAGCTGCCACACGGCTCCCCGGGCCGGGTGGGGGTGGGTGAGGAGCTGTCACGGGGGGCACCTCAGGGTGAAAGCAGGTGCAGGGAGCTGCCGCAGGGCTCAGGGAGGGCACAAGTGGAAGTTTCACCTAGGGCGCAAAACATCCTTGCACTGGCCCTGGGTGGAGGGTGCTTTAGAACAGGGGTTCCCAAACTTTTTCCCTGAGGCCCACTTGTACAGCTGCAATATGTACTGTGGCCCACTATTAACACGCGACTGTCAGGGAGAGAGACGCCGTGAGAGGTGTGTGCCTTCTTTAGCAGCCTTCTCAGTGCCTTGAGCTGGTCACCTGGCACCCCCTGCCCAGGTACAAGGGAAGGGCTCGCAGGCTGCCAGAGGCAGGCACTCGGGTCGGGCCCAGCCGTTACCTTCATGGTCTCAATCACAGCATTGTCCAGGCAGAAACAGAGCGGTACCGCTGAGCCCCAGATTTTGGGAATGGCCACAAACCCTCCAGCCTCCTCCAGTCACACTGGAAGCTGCCGCCTCTTGGGGCCAGCCCCTTCTCCTCACCCTCCACCCACCAGCTTCGCTTCGCCCTTTGCCACCTGCCAGGGTGCTGGGCTTCTCCAACCCTGGGAGGGGGTCATCGCCAGCTGCCACTCCACCAATGTATACAGTTTGGGGGGCAATGCCACCCCCCATACCCTTCCATCTCCAGCCATGGCAGACCACCTGAGACTGTGTCACAGCCCACCTTTGGGCTTCAGCCCACAGTTTGGGAACCTCTGGTATAGAAGTCTTATTCTGTGTACCTAGGTGCACATGATCACTCATGTCCCGCTGGGTTCGGAACTGTGGATTGAGCTTCAATGAGTTAAAACTTGGAAAAATCTTTCAATCAAACAATCTTTATGAGATATCTTAATTAATACATTATGAACAAACCTCAACCCCAGCTGTTGCCAACAGCCATCTTATCGTTTCCATTCGGCCTCTTCCATTAAAGTAGTAAAGCTTGGGTTTTGTAGCCATGATTTGGATTTCCTGACACAGAAAGCAAGGAAAAACATTTTGCACAGTTCTAAAAAATTTTTTTCAGTTGTCCACAGATCAAAGCAGAACTTTTTTATGTGAATTTGTTTTGGGAGAATGTTAGAGGTTGTGAGCTTATATTTAAAATTTCCCAATACTGCCTTATAAAGCATACCCAAAAATCACCTCTGTGGCTTAATGAATATTATTGCAAGGGGGGGGAAATGATGTGCAGAAGGGAGCCTGATTCTGGCTTATTGTGCACTGCTTGGAAGATGCCAAATTAGTCCTACCTGCTTGCAGAAGTAAAGCCTAATGCCAAAGTTTTCAAACTTACGTGCCTAAGAGTAGATATCCAAATAAACACCCTGTTGTTTTTTTCAACTAGAGCTGCCAGTGCTCAGAAACTTTGAACTATCAGCTAGTATATTATTGCCCGTACATTCCTATGCTTCACGTCATTTTTGACATACATTGTAACATATCATGTAGATAGTAGTAGCAGAATATTCTTCCAGTAACTATGCAATATAAAAATAATATCACTGATTGTAAACCCAGGCAGTAATTGTGTAGTTAATTGTAGCTGGGGGTATGGAAGAAGAGGGGTCGCAAAAGCAAACAATGCCCTCCCTGTCCTTTTAAGATACTCGCTAGCTGTTCATTTAGTTTAGGCATTGACGGGTTATTTCCTGTCTCTTAAAGTTTTCCAAATGCTGAAATGGGCCAGACTTGTTTTAAATAGAGCTGCGCTCTAATATGGCCTCCTCACTGTATCTTTGCCAGCAGCTGTTTTCTTTGGCAAGATTTCAGTGACAAAAATGAAGCCTTAATAAAGTAGTTCTGCAGCATTCGGTGAAAATGGCAAGTGCATTTCCTCTGACCAACACCCAGGAGTCAAGGAGCAGAGGGGGAGGGGATTTTTGTAGCTCTGATCGCTGTAGCTAGCTTTTACTGCTGTCTGTCTGTCTGTCAGTCTCATACATTCTGCCTGATGCACTCAGAGAAAGCAGACCCTCAGTTCCTGGCTTCCCTTCCAGTTCACTCTCACTTGCTCATCTCTTGTCTACCCCTTTGCTCTGTCCTTGCTCAGCAAACTAAACGCTGCTTCCCTTCTCCAGGATTCCCTCCTGCTTTCCCTTCCCCACTTCTAACCCTTGGACTTTCTTCCCTTCCCAAGAAGGCTGTGAGCAGACTGCAAGCAATCAGACTGCCTTTGCTGCAAGTAAGGAAATTAGCACAACCTGCTGCTCCATTCATGCCCAACAGGTTAGAATTTAAGGAAATTGGCTGCATGTACACCTCAGTACAAACCCGTTCCAACTTGTGGCTCTCTCAGCTGTTTTCCTTCTTAAACGAAATATGCTTTCAAGTTATGAGATTGTAGTTCCATCTCCTGACTCCATAGAGCTTTACATAGGTTAGTATGCAGAATCAGGAAACCCCGGTGGCAGCTGGGTATTCTGCAAGCCTGCGGGGGCTGGAACAGTTTCAGTCCCATTGTGAATCCTCCAGTGGTAGTAGGAGGCACTGCACTCTGAAGAAGTGAGGTTTTTACCCACGAAAGCTTATGCCCAAATAAATCTGTTAAGTCTTTAAGGTGCCACCAGACTCCTTGTTGTTTTTGCTCTCTGAGGTGATCAGCCCCAGTGCAACTCACTTACCGTATTGCCAGCTCAGGTGATTTTATAATGAGTCTCATGATATTTGGTATTTGTCTTAAAGCCCCAGCTCTGCAGTGAGGTAATTCTGTGAGAGTCTCAGCTTTCATTTACAAAATCCAAGAAAACAGAAAACAAACAAGCCCCCGCACAGCCCCCCCCCGCCAACCAAACCAACTAAACAATGGTGTAGAAAAAAGCTTGAGAAGATGAACCCATGCTGTGCTGTAGAAGTATTCACCCGGAGTGGGTTCTCCCTCTGCTGCTTTCCCTCAGAAGTTCTGCCAGTTAGGAAAAGCTTTTATTCCACTGAGGGCTCCACAGAAGTGTCAGGAGATGGGCTAAATCAGAACACCCCATGCTGCCTACATTTGGGGCTACCCTGACCCCGTGTGCCCTGGGTGAAGGCTGCTGCTTTGCACTGCCACTACCTCTTCCCCCCTCCTTGGATTGTATGTCCCCAGGAAGGCACTATAGCCTGGTCAATGCTTTCAGAAGCTGCTTGTCACAGCATAAGCTGGCCCTTCAAGGAGACTGGGGCTCAGCTGCACCTGTGCCAGACTTTGCTCCCTTCCCCAGAGGGAGGAGATGAATGAGGTTGTGTTACAAACGGACAGGTGACTAAGAGCAGACCTGCTTGGAAAATTAGACCAGCCTCCTTAGTTGTTAGTTCAGAAATGGGAAGCCTGGAGTCCGGAGACCCCTGCAGGAAGAAGCATCCCCTAGGGTAGAACAGAGCCGTGGTGGGCAGGGGAGGCCTACCAGCACTGAAGCACAGCCCCAGGAAGTGGAGGGAGGCTGTGGGTACCTTGTTTCAAGAGAGAAGAAGTTTGAGCCGGCTAGGAAAGACCAGAGGGAAAGCACTTCAGTGTAGATACCATCTATGCTGACGGGAGGGATTCTCCCATCAGCGTAGGTAATCTACCTTCCCGAGAGACGATAGCTAGGGCAGTGGAAGAATTCTTCTATTGACCTAGCGCTGTTACATGGGTACTTAAGTTGGCTTAACTATGCTGCTCAGGGGTGTGGGTTTTTCATATCCTTAACCGAAGTAGTTAAAGCAACATAATTTTCTAGTGGAGACCAAGACTAAGGTGGGACACTTTGTTTTGTGTCAGAGGAGTAGCCGTGTTAGTCTGAATCTGTAAAAAGCAACAGTCTTGCATCTGAAGAAGTGAGGTTCTTACCCACGAAAGCTTATGCTCCCAATACTTCTGTTAGTCTTAAAGGTGCCACAGGACCCTCTGTTGCTTTTTGTTTTGTGTTTGTTTGGACTTTGATACTCCAGGAGGGCTGTACTTTTGTGAATAGGCCTGGTCTACACTAGAAAATTAAGTCAACTTAACTATGTTGCTCAGGGGTGTGAAAAATCCACACCCCTGAGCAGTGTAGTTAAGACAACTTTACTCCCAGTCTAGACAGCGCTGATGGAAGAATCCTTCCCTTGACCTAGCTAGCGTCTCTCGGGAAGGTGGGGTGCAGGGTGCAGAACCCCTCCTGTTGACGTATGTAGTGTTTACACCAAAACACTACGGTGGCGCAGCTGTTCTGCTGTAGCATTTTAAGTGTAGACAACCCCTTCCTTCAGCAACGGGACTATGCTGAAGGCCATAAGAATCTTTGAGGATTAGAAGAAACTGAGGCAGGGTGACTGCAGTGCCACACAATGCCCGGGGTGTCATACTCCGAGACTGTACCCTGCAACCACTGTAAAGCAAAGATGTTTCTGGCCCATTATTGGTTAATAGTTCATCTATAAATAAGTTCAGAACAGTGCATGTAGTATATACCGTACTAGAAAGTTACAAGTCAGTGTCTTTAAGGGGTCATAACTCATGGGAGTTTCTTTCCTGCTCCAGAGTTGAGGTTTTAACACCTATTTGCATCTAGAGATAAGCTTCTTATTATTATTATTTATATTCTGATAGTGGCAACAGTGTGACAGATTCCTTCCAAATGCAGAGGAAGATGCAGACACTATCCCAAATAATCTTTTGTTTTCATATTTTATCAAGGACTTGACACTCATTAAAACAAACCACTCAAACAGCAAGAGTAATTAGATACTATTTTCTATCACTGGAATGTCATTGCTTTTAATTATGTAGTGCAGGGGTCAGCAACGTTCAGCACGCGGCTCGCCAGGGTAAGCACCCTAGCCAGCCGGGCCAGTTTATTTACCTGCTGATGTGGCAGGTTCGGCCGATTGCAGCCCCCACTGGCCGTGGTTCGCCGTCCCAGGCCAATGGGGGCGGTGGGAAGTGGCGCGGGCCGAGGGATGTGCTGGCTGCGGCTTCCCGCCACCCCCATTGGCCCGGGACGGTGAACCGCGGCCAGTGGGGGCCGCGATCAGCCGAACCTGCCGCGTCAGCAGGTAAATAAAACTGGCCCGGCCCGTTAGGGTGCTTGCCCTGGCGAGCCGCGTGCCGAATGTTGCCGACCCCTGCTCTATCTTGAACTCCTTTTGGTGGAGTGTTTCATATTGCATATCTGCAATGATTATTCACAGCATACAAGTCATTAACAGTTTTGTATATGGCAGTCACTACACGCTTGGTTGCTGGGAATTGGAGATATCCACGAGTTTCCCAAGAACCTGGGTCAAAATTATTACTCAAATCCTACATCTGGATCTCTAAGGCCTATAGGTGACTTGATTGATTTTTCTCTAAAATGGAATGAAATATACCACTTTGTTCCTCCTGCACTTTCTGCAGTGAGCTGATACTAAGCTAAAGCGTTAAGATTTGCAAGGCTTGCACAGCAGAAGGCTCTGATTTGAGAGCAAACTTGTGCTCCACTAACTTTTTCCCTGTGTGGCATATGTCTGCAGTAGTAATACAGCCCTGAGGCAATTCTAGTATAAGATAAATGCAGAGGCTGGAGGTGCTGATAACATTGGACTTCAATCCAGAGAAATCTTGCAAATGCAAACTTCAGTCTCTCACCAGCTAATCAGTGGGGATTCTCAGTTTGTATTTCTCATGTTCAAGAATGAGGAGTAGACATAGCAGGAATAAAAGTCACACCTCGAGTCATCTTTGGAATCAGTCAATGTTATTTTGAACCATTTGAATACTTCAATGATTTTAAATAGCATTTGGTCAGTTTAAATTTGTTGTATATATATTATAATTTTTAATATGAATTTTATTTTAGATCAAAGGATCTCAAGACTATTTGATTTATGGCTACTTTAAGTTTTCCTGCTGTGAAGGGACACACCCTCACTCTGCCAGAGAAGAGACTAAGGGTATGTCTACACTACGGGATTAATCCGAATTTATATAATTTGAATTTGGGAAACAGATTGTATAAAGTCGAATGTATGCGGCCACACTAAGCACATTAATTCGGCGGTGTGCGTCCATGTTCCGGGGCTAGCGTCGATTTCTGGAGCGTTGCACTGTGGGTAGCTATCCCATAGCTATCCCATAGTTCCTGCAGTCTCCCCCGCCCATTGGAATTCTGGGTTGAGATCCCAGTGCCTGATGGGACAAAAAACGTTGTCGCAGGTGGTTCTGGGTAAAGCCTCACCCCTCCCTCCCTCCCTGCATGAAAGCAACGGACGGCAGACAACCATTTCGTGCCTTTTTTCCTGCGTGAACACTGCAGACTGACTCCATACCACAGCAAGCATGGAGCCCGCTCAGCTCAAGACAGCAGTCATGAACATTGTAAACACCTTGCACGTTCTCGTGGAGTTTATGCTGAGCCAGGACCAGAAAAACGAGGCGAGGAGGCAGCGGCGGCGGCAGCGCAGTGACAAGCGTAATGAGGACATGGACATGGACACAGAATTCTGTCAAACTGCGGGGCCCGGTGCTTTGGAGATCATGTTGTTAATGGGGCAGGTTCTATCCATGGAACGCCAATTCTGGGCAAGGGAAACAAGCACAGACTGGTGGGACCGCATAGTGTTGCAGGTGTGGGATGATTTCCAGTGGCTGCAGAACTTTCGCATGTGTAAGGGCACTTTCATGGAACTTTGTGACTTGCTGTCCCCTGCCCTGAAATGCCAGAATACCAAGATGAGAGCAGCCCTCACAGTTGAGAAGCGAGTGGCGATAGCCCTGTGGAAGCTTGCAATGCCAGACAGCTACCGGTCGGTCGGTAATCAATTTGGAGTGGGCAAATCTACTGTGGGGGC